TGCGCCACACGTGCCGTGGCACCATCAACCTGGCCACAGCCAACATCACAGTGGAGGACTCGTGCAACTTCATCATTTCCAACGGCGGGGCTCAGACCTACCACCTGAAGGCCAGCTCTGAGGTGGAGCGGCAGCGCTGGGTCACGGCACTGGAACTGGCCAAGGCCAAGGCTGTCAAGATGCTGGAGGAGTCAGGTAGTGCCTAAACATTGGATCATAGAATCATAGAATGGCCTGGGTTGAAAAGGACCACAATGATCACGTAGTTTCAACCCCCCTGCTGTGTGCAGGGTCACCAACCAGCAGACCAGGCTGCCCAGAGCCACATCCAGCCTGGCCTTGAATGCCTCCAGGGATGGGGCATCCACAGCCTCCTTGGGCAACCTGCTCCAGTGTGTCACCACCCTCTGTGTGAAAAACTTTCTCCTAGTATCTAACCTAGACCTCCCCTGTCTCAGTTTGAAACCATTCCCCCTTGTCCTATCACTATCCACCCTCATCAACAGCCATTCCCCCTCCTGTTTATACACTTCCTTCAAGAATTGGAAAACCGCAATGAGGTCTTCCCAGAGCCTTTTCTTCTCCAAGTTAAACAAGCCCAGTTCCCCCAACTTTTCCTCACAGGAGAGGTGCTCCAGCCCTCTGCTCATCTCAGTGCCCTCCTCTGGACCCGCTCCAAGAGCTCCACGTCCTTCTTGTACTGGGTGCCCCAGGCCTGGACACAGTTCTCCGGATGGGGCCTCACAAGAGCCGAGTAGAGGAGGATGATCACCTCCCTCTCCCTGCTGGCCACCCCTTTTTTAATGCAGCCCAAAACACAGTTGGCCTTCCGGGCCATTGCTGCAGGCACAGCCTGCTACCTCCCTCCTTAACGCCCCGTCTTGCCACCAGATGACTCCGGCGACGAGTCGGTGTCCCAGACTGACAAGACGGAGCTGCAGAGCACTCTGCGCACACTGTCCAGCAAGGTGGAGGACCTGAGCACCTGCAACGACCTGATTGCCAAGCACGGCACGGCCCTGCAGCGCTCGCTCAGTGAGCTGGAGAGCCTGCGCCTGCCGGCCGACAGCACCGAGAAGATCAAGCAGGTCAACGAACGCGCCACGCTCTTCCGCATCACCTCGAACGCCATGATCAATGTGAGTGACACCAGGGGGCGGCCCCGCTCTGCTCCTTGCCACCACGGAGCTGATCCCATCCCACCTCCACGCAGGCGTGCCGGGATTTCCTGCTGCTGGCCCAGACCCACAGCAAGAAGTGGCAGAAGTCGCTGCAGCACGAGCGGGATCAGCGCATCCGCCTGGAGGAGACGCTGGAGCAGCTGGCCAAGCAGCACAACCACCTGGAAAGGGCATTCCGTGGTGTCACCGTTCTGCCGGCCAGTGCTGCTGGCAGTGGTGGCTCTGCCAAAGGTACCTGAGCACAGCCTGGGGCCGACTGGGGGTGGAGGTGAGGCTGCTGTGGGGCAGCAGTAGCAGGGAAGCCAAGAGTGCTGCTGGGCATCCCAGTACCGCTGTCCCCTATCTTCTGTTCCACACCGTGCCCAAACTCTGCCCGTCCACCACCACACAGGGAGGCAGCAGGCACCCTTAAGAGTGCAGGCACACAGCCCCCTCTGTCCTTGTCACCTCCAGATCCCTGCTGCTCTGCAAAAGGAGACCTGAGTGATGAGGACGATGACAATGAGTTCTTTGATGCCCCGGAGATCATCACTGTGCCGGAGAGCATGGGCCACAAGTGAGTACAGGGGCTGCCCCCAGGGTGGACAGAGGCAGAGCTGGGCCTAATGCCAACCCCTGCCCACCCCAGGCGCACTGGCAGCAACATCAGCGGCACCAGCAGTGACATCAGCCTGGAGGAGCAGGTAACAGGTGATGCTCCAGAGCTGAGCTAGCTCTGAGGATGCGGAGGTGAGTGTGGGGGAGTCACAGCGATGCTCGTCTTACCCCCTCAGTATAAGCACCAGGTGGAAGACACCAAGAAGGAGAAGAGAACTCGCATTCCCTACAAGCCCAACTATAGCCTCAACCTCTGGAGCATCATGAAGAACTGCATTGGGAAGGAGCTGTCCAAGATCCCCATGCCGGTGAGCAGGGGCGCAGCCAGGGCCTGGCTGGTGGGGGCTGTGGGCCCTGTTCCCTCCTTTGACCTTTCACTCCCCTCCAGGTGAACTTCAACGAGCCTCTGTCCATGCTGCAGCGTCTGACGGAGGACCTGGAGTACCACGAGCTGCTCGACCACGCAGCCAAATGTGAGAGCTCGCTGGAGCAGCTCTGCTACGTGGCTGCCTTCACCGTCTCCTCCTACTCCACCACCGTCTTCCGCACCAGCAAACCCTTCAACCCACTCCTGGGGGAGACCTTTGAGCTGGACCGCCTGGAGGAGAACGGTTACCGTTCCCTCTGTGAGCAGGTACCGCTGCCCCGCACCGCCAGCACCGGAGCCAAGTGCTGCAACCGGGCTGAGCGTCCTCTCTGTCCTCACAGGTGAGCCACCACCCGCCAGCTGCCGCACACCACGCTGACTCCAAGCATGGCTGGACGCTGCGCCAGGAGATCAAGATCACCAGCAAGTTCCGGGGGAAGTACCTCTCCATCATGCCTCTGGGTGAGCTGTGGGGGCTGAGGTGCAGCTGGGGGCTGCACCCTGTCCAGAAGGTGACGCCCCTCTCCCCTTTCAGGCACCATCCACTGCGTCTTCCACGCCTCCGGCAACCACTACACGTGGAAAAAGGTCACCACCACCGTGCACAACATCATCGTGGGAAAGCTGTGGATCGACCAGGTGGGGCGCTGGGCTGTCCCTCGTGCCTCAGTTTCCCTGCAGTGCAGGGAAGAGGTGCAGGGTGGAGCTGAGCGCATCTCTGTGGTCTCTTGTAGTCGGGTGAAATTGAAATTGTCAACCACAAGACGGGTGATAAGTGCAACCTCAAGTTTGTCCCCTACAGCTACTTCTCCCGGGATGTGGCTAGGAAGGTAGGGACTGGTGTGCCCTGTGGGGTGGCAGCAGGGGAGCGCATGGGTCACTGGGGGGTCTCCGTCCCATCAGGTCACGGGGGAGGTGATGGACCCTGCGGGGAAGGTGCACTTCCTCCTGCTGGGCACCTGGGACGAGAAGATGGACTGCTACAAGGTGGCAGCGGGCAGCGGGGACAACGGGGCTGAGGGCCGGCAGCGGCTGCACGAAGCAGAGGAGAGCCGCGTGCCGCTGTGGAAGAGGAACCAATTGCCGTGAGTTGGGGGCATGGAGGGGCCAGGACAGGGGCTGTGAGTCCCCCCGGAGAGGGGCTGAGCTCTGTGTGCGTGTAGGAAGTACGCAGAGAACATGTACTACTTCTCGGAGCTGGCGCTGACGCTCAACGCACCCGAAAGTGGCACGGCACCCACCGACAGCCGCCGGCGCCCCGACCAGCGCCTCATGGAGAACGGCCGCTGGGATGAGGCCAACGCCGAGAAGCAGCGCCTGGAGGAGAAGCAGCGCCTGGCCCGCAAGCGTCGCGAGGCCGAAGCTGCCCGTGCAACTGAGGATGGTAAGGAGGGACTGGGGGACCGCAAGCCCCCCTGTCGCCGCGGCGCTGAGCCCTGGCTGTGCCCGCAGGCACCCCGTATGACCCCTACAAGCCGCTGTGGTTCGAGCGCAAGAAGGACCCGGTCACCCAGGAGCTGGCGCACGTCTACCGGGGGGGTTACTGGGAGAGCAAGGAGAAGCAGGACTGGAGCGGGTGCCCGGACATTTTCTGAGCACGCCGTGCTGTCGGCACCCACCCACCCACCGGGGTTGCCTTAGCCCATAGCCACACTGACCTTGATGCCGGGGTGGGGAGTGGGAGCCAAGCAGGCCCCCCCTGACCCTGGGAGCTCCCCCCCTCTGCCCTCATACGTGCACTCAGCCCCGGTGCCCTGGAGCAGGAGCGGCTCCCAGGGAGCGCATCGGGGTGAGCCCGAGGCTGGCCTTGGTCTCTCTCCCCCCACCCCGTTATTTTAGCCCTCTGCTGGGCATTCGGGTTCTGTCGGGGGCAGGGGGCTAGGCTCACTCGCCCCACAATGGTTATGATGTAGAGAGGTGTGGGGGGGAGGCACTCTCTCCATGCTTGCCCCGGTGCCCCCAGCACGGTGCCTTCCTCCTGGGGCATTTGGGGCAATGGGGGCACCGCAGTGGGGCAGGGACCCCTCCTCCCTTTCCCCATGCCAAAACACTACAGCAGCCTGAGGATGGTGGGGGGGACTCTGCGGGGGGCTGAGCTGACCCTCTGAAGGGGGGGAGGGGGTGGAGGCAGTGAGTGGGGGCATATGATGTGCCCGTTTTTTTTTTTTTTTTTTTCATTTTTTCATTTTTTTTTTCCCCCCTCCCCCTCTTTATCTCTAGGAAAACAGCTAAATTAAAATCTGTGAATGCCCCAACCACTGTGTGTGTGTGTGTGTGTGTGTGTGTGCTGGTTTTGAAGGGTTCCCTCTGCAGGGTTTGGGAGAGCAGGCATTGCACTCTGGAGGCCCTCTGAGATCTGTCACTGCTGGGACACAGGACTCCTCCAGTCCCAAAAGAGGGGGCAGCCTCTGAGCAGATACTTGAACTCTGGACCATCAGATTAAGAGGTCTAATTCTCTATTGGCTGAGCCACCCGGTTCAGTTTCTGGATGAAAGTATCACCATGGAGAAGGTCCCCTCTTTTTCTTCCTCCTCGTCACCTGCTGCAGGGTCCCATCTCCTCCTCTGCCCACCATCTGACCCTTGCAAGCGCTATGTGTCCTCCCCCAGTGCAGTCCCCAAGGCACCTGGGATCTCCTTGTCCCTTTTTGGGGTGGCAGTCCCTTGGGCCCCCTTATAGTAGCTACCCCCACCCCATATCCCGCCTCTCCCCTCCCCCAAGGACCACCACCATCCTGCCAGTCTGAGTAAGTAGCTTTATTGGGGGGGCCCCTGCCCCACTCTGTTTCCCATCATTTGCTCTGAGCCCTACTGATGGCTGGAGCAGCGCTAGGAAGAGGAGGCAGCCCTGGGCCCCCTGCTGCCCCACAGCTTCATTACCGGGAGGACAGCATCATGACGAACTCTGTGGGGCGATGTGGCAGGCGTCGGGCACAGGGACACGTGTCCCAGGCCGTGCCCAATGGGGATGAGGGGAAATAGGGCTGGACCTCACCATCGAAGTCCACACGGCCGTCCCCATTGAGGTCCACATCCTGCAGGATCTCATCAACCTCCTGTGCCTTCAGCTGCTCGCCCAGCAGCGCCGCGATGGCCTGCCGCATCTCTGCACTGCTGATCTCCCCGTCCCCGTTCACATCGAACTGCAGCATACACGTCATGCCTCTTCCCCACCTCGTCCCTCAACCCCTGCTTTTCCTGTGTTCGTCGTCCGTGGCACACCGGTGGTGCCTCTCGTGGCCATCGTCCCCTCATGGTCTTCCCATGTCTGTGGTGTCCCTGTGGTCACCATTCCCCAGTCCCCTCCCAGTCTTTCCATGGTTGCTGTCCCTCCCACACCTGTGCTCATCCCCATGGCTGTGGTGTCCCTGTGTCAGTGCCACTTGTGTCTCCATGCCCACAGTGTCCCAATGCCTGTCCCTGTGGCCCTGGTGTCCCCATGCCCGCAGTGTCCCCGTGGCTGTAGTATCCCCGTAGCCATACCTCACGGAAGGCGATCTTCAGCTCCCTCACACCCACCATATGAGCCGTCTCCTCCCGCAGCTTTGGCCCCATCATCTGCACAAAGTCCTCAAAGTCCACACGGCCACCCACTGTACCAAGGGAAGGAACAGCCTCAGTGCCCCAGCCCTGTCCCCATATCCCCATGCCACTGCCCTGGCCCTGCAGAGGCCATCCCCGCACTCACTCCTCATCTTGATGTGCTGGGAGATCTCGATGAGCTCCATCTCAGTGGGCATATATCCCAACGTGCGCATGCAGGCACCCAAGTCCTTGTAGCTGATGAAACCATCCTGGTCGGTGTCAAACTCCTTGAAGGCATCCAGCAGCTCTGTTCCGTGGGCACAGGGACCCATCGGGAATGGGACCATGGCACCCCACCCCAAGGCACTTTGCCCCACAGGACCCCTTCCCATAGCAGATTCTTCTGTGGCATGAGTCCCCATATGGCACAACCTTTCACGGCACCGTGACCCACAGCAACATGGCACCTTGTCCCATGACAGGTCCTTCCATGATGCATCCCAACATAATCCATGGCACTGCAACCCATGATACTCTGTCCTATAGCACCGTGCCCAATGGCAAGTCCCTCCATGGCATATGTCCCCATCGTGCAACATTCCATGGCACGAGCCTCCATGGCACTACATCCCACGGCACCACGTCCCATGGCAGATCCCTCCATGGCACACATCTCCATGGCACCGTGTCTCATAGCACCACAACAGCACCATGTCCCACAGCATCATGTCCCATGGTGGCTACCTTCACATCTACATGTTCCATCACAACATTTGGCACCATGTCCCATGGAAGGTCCCGCCACGGCACATGTCCCCATGGCGCACTGACCCATGGCCCGTGTCCCACAGCACTCTATTCTACGGCAGGTCCTTCCATGGCATTTATCCCATGGCACCACACACCCATGTCCCCCCATGCCCCGATCCCACTGCTCACCATCCAGCTCCTCCGGTGACAGCTCCCGCTCCTGGGACAGGGCACAGAGGGGTAGTGGTGGTAGAATCAGACCTGGCTCAGCCCCCCACCCCACCCAAGCAATCCACGGTGTCACCTTTGTTAAGCGTGGAACAAAATTAACTCCCACAGGAGGGATTAGAGGGATTGAAGACAAAGCCCTGCCTGGCCCCTCTGCCCGCCGACCCCATCGGACCCTCTCCCTATCAGCCCCTCTCCCTGCACACACCCTGATGCCCCCAGCCCAGGACCTCTGAGCTCCAACTGAGTTCTGCCCCATTGCTGGAGGTTAGGTGTTTCCTGAAGTGACAGGGCAGAGATCCCCAAGCCCAGCCCCCCTGTTCCCCCTTCCCAGTGAACCCCAATCCCTCCCCAGTCACACACAGAGGGAGGGGAGGATGTCGGTGAGCCCCCAGACCTCCCCACTCTGCCCAATGGTACCCATTTGGCACCATGTCCCCTCCATCCCTGTTGAACCCAGCCCCATTTCCAGCTTCCCATATCCCCTCCATCCATTGTCCCCCCATGCCCCCACCTTGCCAAACACCATGTTGAGGAATGGTGAATACGCCTTGGTGCTGGCAGCGTGGAGGTCCCCGGCCCCTTTCTTGCTGTTCTTCCGCCCGTGGCATCCGTGCTGGGTTTCAGTGTTGGGGCTGCCTGGGGGGCCACCCGCCTCAGGGGCTTTGGGGGGCCTCTCGTCCACCTCCCCCTGCTTCCCATTGCCTGAGGCTTCGGTGTTCTTGGGAGCCCCCTTGTCCCCCCTCGAGCGTGGCATGGGGCTGAGGGCTGGTGGTGGCAGCAGGAGCAGGGCCGGGGGTCAGCCAGCCCTTAAGAAGGAGGCCAGGAAATCCTCTTACCTGCCCCCTCCCCCCAGTCCCGGGAAGGCAAAGCCAATTAGCAGTGATTACCATAGCAGGAAATGAGCCACCCACTGTGGCCTCATACATGGGCTGCCCACCTCCCCACACTCACACTGAGCCAACTCCAGCACCCCAACGCTACCACCCGTGTCTCCATCCCAGACACCTGTTGGTCCCCATTCTTACGTCCCCACATCCAGCCCCCCAGGCATCTCCTGGCTGCAGCAGGGACAGTGTGACTGCAAGCAGCAGCACCTGTCCCCTCCCCAGTCCCTGTGTCCCCACGATAGCATCGCCCCAGCTCAGCATATGTGGGCAGTGCCTGGCAGGGAGATGCCATCTTGGGGACACCATGGCACTGTTCCCAACATGGCCACCCCAGAAGGGTCCATCTGTCCAGAGACGTTCAACCTTGGTTCTGGGAGCCCACAGGGGCCATCCTATAGTACCAGCACACAGGGAATGACAATCCTGGTGGGGCGATGGGCAACCATCCCCAAAAGAGATAATGGAGCCGCTTCCTCCCTCCATGGCAGCAACTTCCTGTCCCCCCTCCAGGAAATTAGACTGGGGGTGTCACTGCCAGGGAGGAGCCCCTCCCACCCATCCCCACATATAGGGCAGCCCAGGAGGTCCCCAGTGCAAGCCTACGCCCACACGGCTGTTACAGTAGGTCAGATGCTATTTATTGGCCTGGACTATGGGGCAGGGATGAAATGGGGCACACGAGCGGGATGCTGCATGGCACAAATGAGAGGGAATGCTGTGGGGTAAAGTGGGGAAGGAGAGGCAAGAGGGGGGCCAGGTGTGATGGATGGGGAGAGTGGGACAGTGAGATGGGGATGGTGAGCAACGGGGCGGGCTCCAAAGGGATGGGAGCTATGGGGTAGGGAACTATGGAGGACATGCAAAGGAGCTACGTTTGGGATTCAAATAATGGGGAGCAATGGCAGGGATGCAATGGGATGGTGAACAACAGGGAGAGGGGACAATGAGAGAAGGGGTGATGTGAGGGGATCCAAAGGGATGAGAATCTATGGGAGCCATCCAGATGATGGGGAGCAATGAGGGGTTCAATGGGATGGCAGTCTACGGAATGGAAAGCAACGTGGCAGAGATAACACTATGGGGAGTTATATCCAAAGGGATAAATACAGCGAAGAGGATAAAACGAGGCGGGTGGGGACTGATGGGGACTGATGGGTGCAATGGGACGGATCTGGAGGAATGAGGACCTATGGGATGGGAAGCAATGGGGGAGAATGCAGCGAGACGGGGAGCTATGGAGGAGACGTCATGGGAGGGGGAGCTATGGGCAGCGGGCCGTCTGCGGGGTTCCAGCTGGTGGCAGCCACGCTGGGAGCCTACACGACTGCCATCGCGCCCTTCCAGCTGGCCCGGCTGCTGAGCACCCGCTGGCTGTACGCCCTGGGGCTGGCCTTCCACCTGGGCAGCTGTGTCAGCTCCTACCTCTACCTGCTGCTGGACACCAGCGTGGGGCACCGCGCCGCCAGCGCCGTGCGGGGACGGGAAAGCGGCCGACACCGGGCCGCCCAGCGCCACCGCCGCCGCGCCCCTCACCGCGCCCCCTCACCGACCACGCCCCTCTTGTAACCACGCCCCAATCGGCGGGCCCCGCCCCCTCCTCGTGGCCCTGCCCCCGAGCTCTCCGTGCCGCAGTGCGCAGGCGCGGCGCCCCGCTCACTTCCTGTGCCCCCGCCCGCTCCCGGCTCGGCACCGCTCCGTACCGCCGCCCCGCCTCCTGCCCGCCCGCCCCGGCCCCGGCCCCGGTCCCGGTACCGGCACCGGATCCGGCCCGGCCGCCGGTGAGTGCGGGGCGGGCGGCTCCCGGGGCTCTCCCGCGCTGTACCCATCCCCACGCCGCTCCCCCGGCCCTTCTCCCGTCGGTGTCCCTGTTGGGCCGGTCTCTGTCCGCATCCCCATAACAGAAAGGCGATCCCGGCCCCATCCGTGTCCCCATCGGGGCGACCCCCGTCCCTGTGAGGACCATCCGCGTCCCCGTCCCTGTCCCCACCGGAGCAGTCCCTGTCCCCGTCCTGGGAAGGACGGTCCTGTCCCCATCCCTGTCCGCAGTGAGGCTCTCCCTGTCTCAGTAACCGTTTCTATCCCCACAGCAGCCATCCCTGTCCTCATCCACAAAGGACAATGCTGTCCCTATAGGGACAATCCCTCTCCCCATCTCCATCCCTGTCCCCATCCCTATTATGGAAGAACCGTCCTGGTGCTACAGGAGCAATCCCTGTCCCCATCCCTGTTCCCACAGAGCTGATCCTTATTCCCATCCCTGTCCTAATACACAAAGGACAATCCTGTCCCTATAAAGCAATCCCTTTTTTCCCATCCTTGTCCCCAAAGTAGCCATTTCTGTCCTCATCTCCATCCTTGTCCCTATCCCCATCCTGGGAAAAATAGCCCTGTCCCCATAGGAAAACTGCCTTTCCCATTCCTCTCCAGGGAGGAATGATCCTGTCCCCATAGAGGCTATCCTTGCCCACATCTCTATCTCCATAGGGGTGACACCCACCTGACCCCGAAAGAGTACTTCCCATCCCAGTCCCTGTCCCCATTCCTCCCTGTCCCCACGGAGGCAATCCCTGCCCCCATCCACGCCCCACACCCACAGGGCAGGGTTTGTTTGCCCAGTGCCGGTTTCCCGCTTGTGCAGGGAGGAGCACCGTTGCCCTTTACCCAGGGCGGGTGATGGGGCTGAGCCCCCCGCTCAGTGCCACCATCCTAGGGCTGCTGCTTTGGAGAGCTGTTTTGGGGTCCCCCCGGTGACACGGAGCCGGGGTGCGCCCCCAGCCATGTCGTTCCGTAAGGTGGTGCGGCAGAGCAAATTCCGGCACGTCTTCGGGCAGCCGGTGAAGACAGAGCAGTGCTACGATGACATCCGTGTGTCCCGCGTCACCTGGGACAGCACCTTCTGCGCTGTCAACCCCTCCTTTGTAGCCATCATTGTGGAGGCCAGCGGCGGCGGAGCCTTCTTGGTGCTGCCCCTGCACAAGGTGGGCTGGGGATGGGGATGGCGCTGGGGATGGCTTGGGATGGGGACATGATGGAAACTGAAGTGGCTTGGGATCAGGATGGGGATGTGTTGGGGAGAGGGATGGGATGGGACAGGATAGAATGGAGATGGCCTGGGATGGGGATGGGGATGGGGATGGGGATGGGATGGGGAAGGCTTGGGATGGAGCTTGGATGGGGACAGGGATGGAGTGGGGACGGGATGGGGAATGGGCTGGGTTGAGATGGAGATGGGGCTGCGTTGAAATGGGGCTGTGGCTGTGTTGAGATTGATGGAGATGGGGGTGTGGAGCTCAGATGGAACAAGGATTAACCACCTCTCACACTGTCCCTACATCCCCAGACTGGCCGCATTGATAAGTCGTATCCCACTGTGTGTGGGCACACAGGCCCTGTGCTAGACATCGAGTGGTGCCCCCACAACGATCACGTCATTGCCAGTGGCTCCGAGGACTGCACTGTCATGGTGAGGGGTGGATGGGAAAGGGGTTACTGGGATGTTGTGGCACAGAGGACACCTCACTGTTCACTCCCCATAGGTGTGGCAGGTGCCTGAGGGGGGCCTCGTGCAGCCACTCACAGAGCCAGTGGTGGTGCTGGAGGGGCACTCGAAGCGTGTGGGCATCATCGCCTGGCACCCCAGCACCCGCAACGTGCTGCTCAGTGCAGGTATGGGGACAGTGCGGGGTCACAGGGTGCTGGGTGACACTGGGACAGGTGGTTGAGCTGCATCCATACCGTGCAGGCTGTGACAACGTGGTGCTGATCTGGAACGTGGGTACGGGAGAGGAGCTGTACCGCCTGGAGGGCCTGCACCCTGACCTCATCTACAGCGTGAGCTGGAGCCGCGATGGGAGCCGTTTCTGCACTGCCTGTAAGGACAAGAGTGTGCGTGTCATCGACCCCCGCCGCGGCACCGTGCTGCTGGTAAGTGAGACAGCAGAGTGGCAGTGTCCCCGTGTCCCTAGGGTGCTTCCCATCCCTTGTCCCCTGGTGCTCCCTGCTGTCCTTGAATGCTTGCAATTCCTTGTCCCCAGATGTTCACTGATACTCCCCATCATAGAATCAGAATCACAGAATGGCCTGGGTTGAAAAGGGCCACAATGATCATCTAGTTCCCACCCCCTGCTATGTGCAGGGTCACCAACCAGCAGACCAGGCTGCCCAGAGCCACATCCAGCCTGGCCTTGAATGCCTCCAGGGATGGGGCATCCACAGCCTCCTTGGGCAACCTGTTCCAGTTTGTCATCATCCTTTGAATGTCCCCATCCCTCATCCCTGATGTACTTCTCCTATCTCCCTGACACTCTTCATCTCTTAGATGTCCCCATGCCTTGGTCCCAGAGTGCTTTCCCTGTTTCCCCCATGCCCTGCATCCCCTGGGATGTCCCTACCCCTTGCCCCTCAGGCACACCACGTCCTTCCCTGTATCCTTCGTGTGCCCCCAATTCCTTGTCCTCAGTTGCTGCCTGGTGCCCCCCATTGCCTTGCATTCCTCAGGTGCCCCCATCCCTTGTCCCCAGGATGCTTCCCATTCCTCCTTGCTATCCTGGATTCCTTGAGTATCCCTGCCCCTTGTCACCAGGGCACATTGGATCCTTCCCTGATACCCTGTGTCTCTTTGTCCCCACGTGCTCCCTTCACCTCTTGGGTGTCCCCCACATCCCTTTGTCCCTGGGACACTTTTCCATCCCTCCCCAGTATCCCACATCCATGGGGTCTCCCCATCATCCCTTGTTTGCGGGGCACTTTTGCTGACCCCTGTGTGCCCCCATGCTGCACCCCACCTGTCTCATGCCGCTGCCCTCATGCTGTGCTCCCACCCTGCAGGAGAAAGAGCGGGCACACGAGGGTGCACGCCCCATGCGTGCCATCTTCCTGGCTGATGGCAAGATCTTCACCACTGGCTTCAGCCGCATGAGCGAGCGGCAGCTAGCGCTGTGGGACACGGTGAGGGGCTGCAGGGGTCCCTTGGGGGACCGTATGGGGTGCAGCATGGGGCTGACGCTCTACCCCCCAGGAGAACCTGGAGGAGCCCATGGGTCTGCAGGAGCTGGACTCTAGCAACGGGGCCCTGCTGCCCTTCTACGACCCTGACACCAATGTGGTCTACGTCTGTGGCAAAGTATGACCCCACACCTCCCTCCCTTGCCCCCTCCTCACCCACCCCATACTCACCAGCTGCCTGTAGGGCGACTCGAGCATCCGCTACTTCGAGATCACAGAGGAGCCACCCTACATCCACTTCCTCAATACATTCACCAGCAAGGAGCCGCAGCGCGGCATGGGCTGGATGCCTAAGCGTGGGTTGGACGTCAGCAAGTGTGAGATTGCCAGGTGAGGCAGAGGGTGCCAGGGTGTTCCGATGTCCTCCCCAGTATCCCTATATTTCCTCTTCTAATGACCCTTTCCCCCCTGCCTCATCAGGTTCTACAAGCTGCATGAGCGTAAGTGTGAGCCCATCATCATGACGGTGCCAAGGAAGGTAAGTGGGGACTGGTGGGGGGAGGTTGGTTTGAGGGAGACTCTGGGAATGGTGATGCCAAGGAGTGATAGGTGGGAACCCCTGGGTAAGTGGGGGGAGGGGGGCTTGGGTAATGCTTAGTAGCTGGGTGGGGGTCCTTGGGTAGTATGCAGTGATTGAGGAGGGGTCTCTATGGGGGTCCCAGGGCAGGGCAGAGCAGCGGGGGGCTCTTGGGGATCCTTAGGGGAAGTGGGGGAGGGGGATCTGTGTGCAGGGTTTTCTGCATTGTGGCTTGGTGGGGGACCCAGATCAGGTGGGTGGGATCCAGAGCAGGGCACAGTAACTTGGGAGGGGTCTCTTGGTGGGCTGCGGGCTCCCTGGGCAAAGCAGGCAGGGGTCTGTTGGGGGCCCCTGTTCAGGCTGGGTGGGGTCTCCACTCATGTTGCAGCAGATGGGGAGGTCCCTGGGTAGAAGCCCCTGCACAGGGGCTGGATGGGGTTCCTAGCTGGGCGGAGCTCCCTGGGTAGGACAGGTACCCATGCAGGGGTCCCCTGAGTGACGCTGTTTGTGGGGCGCAGTCGGACCTATTCCAGGACGACCTGTACCCCGACACGGCGGGCCCCGACCCGGCGCTGGAGGCCGAGGAGTGGGTGGCGGGGCAGACAGCGGGGCCGTTGCTGGTGTCCCTGCGCCAGGCCTATGTCCCCAGCAAGCAGCGGGAGCTGAAGGTGAACCGCCACTCCCTGCTGCACGACGGCCGCTCCGCCGCCGCCGCCGCCACCGCCAGCGCTACGCCGGCGCCCGTCGCCCCCAGCTCCCGTCTCAGCGCGCCCCCGGCCCTGGGCACCGGGACCGCCGCCCCGGCGGTGAGTGCAGGGGGCGTGGTCTTTGGAAGGGGGCGTGGCCTTTTGGTAGCGCGGGCCTGTTTTCGTAAGACGTGTTTGCTGAAGGGGGCGTGGACTTGGGTGTGGTGGGCGTGGCTTTGAGCCACGTGACTTACGAAGGGGGCGCGGTCTTGAGTGGGGCGGGCGGGGCCCGGTTGTCTCGCTGATGGCGTGCCCGGTTCGCAGGTGGGCGGGCGGCTGGACGAGGTGCTGCAGGAGATGGCGGCGCTGCGGGCGCTCGTGACGGAGCAGGGCCAGCGCATCGCCCGCCTGGAGGAGCAGCTCAGCCGCCTGGAGAACGGACACGTCTAGGGGCAGCCCGGCCCACCCACCCAGTGACTGCGTGGGGGCTGCCCCCCCGCAGCCGGGGACCAAGCCTCTATCCTCTGAGCCCTCCTCGTGTCCTCCCCTGGGGTTATATTCTGTCCCTCGGGGATCTCGTCTCCCCCCCCACTCAGGGTCCTGTCCCCACCCCGCTTGGTGCCCCTCTACCCAGCCGTTCCTCCGGCAGCTCCCCCATCACCCTTACTGCCTTACTGGGTGCTGCCCACCTGTGGATCGTGGACCACTTTGCCCCCTGTCGCCCCGCAGTGGCCCGCAAGTGTTAGTGGGGAGGTCCTTGGGATCAAACACTAAAGCCCCTTGCACCCCCCGTGCCCGCGGGGTTGGGTAGGGTCATCTCCCTTTACAATGTGGCACAGCCACGGGATCCCCTTCTCCTTTGCCCTCCCTCCAGGGCAGGGTCCAAATCTATATTTTCACTTCGAATAAAGCTCTTTATAATAAAGGTGCTGGGTCAGGCTGGGGGCGTAAGGGCAATGGGGGCTTTGCTGTAGTGTCATGAGGTGTGTGTGCGGGGGGCCGGGGGTCTGTGCATGTCCCCAGCCCACGGTGGGGATGTAGGGGATAGGAAAGAGGCGGCAGCTATAGCTGGGGGCTCAGGCACAAACTTTCACAGCAATAATACCAGTCAGTGTTCGCAGGGCCACGCTCCCTCTCACTCTTCACCCAGGCTGATGCGTTGCTGTAAGTTTCTCAGCTGCTGGGTGCATTTCGGGTGGTAGGGATGGCAGGTGCAGACGCTGTTACCCTCCCCCCCCCCCCCCCCCCCCCGCATTGATACATCCGCTGCCGGGGGGGCAGGAAGTGCTGGGGGCCCCCCTGCACCACTCACACTGCAGCAACAGGACCTGCTCTAGCAGCGCTCGGTGATGGTGAGCACCCCAAAAACAGAGTGGGGGGGAAGAAGGGGTCAGAGAGCAGGGTGGGGGCATCCCTGAGAATGGGAACATCCCAGAGAGTACCAGGGAGGGGGGATTCTGAAGTGCCCACAGACCCATGCATCCTCTCTGCCACGGTTACCCCGTTATAGATTTGGGGGTGGGGAGCGAAGCAGAGGGCTGCACTTTGTTCCCATGCGACTCCCCATCTGCAGACGCTGCGCTGGGGGGAAGGGGAAAAACCCACGGGTCTTCGGGGCAGCACAATGGGCTGGGGGTCAGGGCCTGGGGGGTCACGGGGTCGAGCACTGCGGGTATTGACGAGGACCCATCCCGTCTCACAGGACACCGCCTGGCGCCCCGCAGCCACGCTGCTGCTGGCGGGTCTGGCGGCAGCGGGGGAGCCCGCAGTGAGCCGCAGCGACCGGGCGGTGGGAGCCCTGCTGGGGCTGCTGCTGTGTCTGGCCGTGGGGCTGGCCTTGGCCTGGCGGCACCTCTGCCGTCTCTCGGACGGCCGCTACCACCCCCGGCCGGCGGGGCGTCGCGCCCTGGCCGTGCTGCAGAGCCGATGGCGGCGGCTGCGGGGCCGGGAGAGCACCGCCGAACCCAGCGGGGAAGGGGACGAAGCCCCGGAAGCGGAGGAGCTGATGCCGTGGGGCGCGGAGCGGCAGCGCCGCGAGGAGGAGGAGGAGGACGGAGAGGAAGAAGCCCCGCAGGAGGAGGAAGAGGAGCAGCGCCCGGCGGAGCAGCCCCACGCACTGCTCGGCGACGCGCACAGCCTCGCGGGGACGGCGGCGTGGGGCGACGCGCGGCCGTCGGACAGCACCGCGCTGTGACGCCGCCGCCCCAATAAAGCGCTCAGCGCTCCTCCGGGCGGACACGGCGCGGTGGGCAGGGCGGGCCGCATCCCCCCCCCAGCTCAGTACGCTGCAGCCGCACTGATCCATGCTTTAATGGTACGCGCACCGTTTCACGGAATCCTCTCCCTCCTACACCCCTACCTGGGCGGCCGCCCCCGACCCCACCGCATCTTCTTGGCGGAGGCGATAGGCAGCGGGGCCGTGGCCTCGGGCGGGGTGCCGCCCTCCAGCCCCAGCTCCATGGTCTCTGCAGATCTGAAGGGCTCGAACGGGGAGAACTTGACCGGGCTGCAAAGGGCGGACGGGGAGGTGAGGGGGGAGCAGCTTTGCCGTAGTGCCCCCCAAACCTGGCACGGGTACCTCACTGGGGTGTGGGGGCTGCTGTTGAGGCGGCGGGGTGCGCTCCGCACCTTAGGCTGAAAGGAGAAGCCCTCCTTGATACTTTCCAGCACTGAGGGGGCCACGTAGGTGAAGCCCTGGAGGAAGGCAGTGGCAAAGGGTGGGGCGGGGGAGCAGCGGGACACCTCTCCCTGTGCATCCACCCCGTACCAGGAAGGCCTGGTTGGCACTCTCACTGATGATGGCATCATCGGGGCTGTCCACGGGGGTCTGGCGTGTGAAGCGGGCATCGAACTGGCTGACATCCTCCTCCGACTGCTGTGTGGGGGAAGGAACGTGGCTGCTGTCCTCTGAGCCCCCCCTTCAACCATTGCCCCCCAGAGCCCCCCCTGTACCAGGCAGGGTTTGAAGGGAGGGTCCAGGCGGCGTGCCAGCAGCTCCTCCCAGTTGATGTGCCGGAAGAAGGGATGCTTCTGGAGGGGAAGTAATGTTATATTGAGAAGTGGGGGGAGTGGAGAAACATTATTATACCCCTCCCCAACCCCTACCTGCACATCGGCTGCATCTCCCGGCCCCCCACCAACGCGCTGGCTGGGGTTGCGCTTGAGGAACTGCAAGAGAAAGGAAATAGGGGTCCCAGCTGTCCCCCTCCACACACACACGGAGTGATGGAATCAGGGGCAGGTGGAGGCACCTTCTTGAGCAGGTCACGTGCATCGGGCGTCAGGTAGGGTGGCAGCACCAGCTTCCCCTTCAGGATCTTGTCAATGGTTTTCTTGCGGTTCTCTGCTGTGAACGGGGGCTGCCAGGCGGGGGTTGGCCACAATGAGCCCTCCATGCTGTCCACATGCCTCCCTCAACCCCCCCTGGGTGACTTGCCGATCCAGTGAGCATGTCGTGCATCACGGCACCCAGGCTCCACCAGTCCACTGCGCAGTTGTGCCCGCTGTGCACCAGGATCTCCGGGGCCCTTTGGGCAATGGGAGGGATGCCCTGAGTGCGTAGTCCCCCCAGGCTCCCCCTGGCACCTCTCCCCCTGCTTACATGTACTCAATGGTGCCGCAGAAGGTGTGGGTGACTGCTCCGTCATGGATGGACTCCTTGCACAGACCAAAGTCCGTCAACTTGATGTGACCTGGGGGGGTTCCGGAGGGGGTCAGCCCCTAGAATGGCACTTCACGGTGGCCCCCCAGCACTGTACCCACCCTGGCTGTTGAGCATGATGTTTTCTGGCTTGAGATCGCGGTAGATGATGCCGTTGGAGTGCAGGTGGCCCAGCGCCAGTGTGATCTCACTGAGATAAAAGCTGTGCCATGGTGGAAGGGGGTGAGCAGCAGTTAGGGCCTCCAGTGCCCTCCTCCAGGCTGAGGATACATGGGGACACATGGGGATACGCAGGGACGTGTGCTGGCCTTACCAGGCGGTGTCTTCCAGGAAGATACCCTCACGCTCCAGCTGCATGAAGAGCTCCCCACCTGCAACAAACAGCCAGGAGGCCGTGAGCTGTGCCCCCTTCATGCTTGCCCCCCCGTTCCCCCATACCACTGAGGCACTCCAGGATGAGGTAGAGCTTGCCGCCCGTCTGGAAGGCGTAGATGAGGTCAACAATGAAGGGGTGTTTTATGGTCTCCAGGATGTTTCTCTCAGCTCGTGTGTGCGCCGTGTCCTTGGCATTGCAGGCGATCTTGGCCTGGGACAGGGGGGTTACATGGTGAAGGGAGGGCATCACAGAATGATGGGGGGGGTCCCACAGTGATGCAGCGCTCCATGGCACCTTCCTACCTTCTTCAGCACCTTCATGGCAAAGATCTTCCCTGTGTTAGTGCCCTGTACCTTGCGCACCTGGAAGACCTGCAGGATGGGGGGGGGGGAGGGAGAGCAAACTTCCTGACACCCTCACCACGTGAGCAGCCCCCCTTCCCAAAGCCCTCCCACCTTGCCATAGCTGCCCTTGCCCAGGACGCGCAGCAGCTCGAAGCAGTGGGGCCCAATGTGCTCGGGGCCGTTGTTGACGCTGCTCTCTGAGATCTCTATCTCCTCGTAGTGCCCCACAGGCCTGTGGGGTGGCGGTGTGGGGATGGTGAGTAGGGATGGGGCCCCCTCAGAGCCGCCCCTCAGTGCCACCCTACACTCACTCCAGGCCGTTCCCCCGGGGCTCCAACTCCATCTCCTGTGGGGACATGGCATCAGTGCCACACGGCACGGTGGCTTTAGCCCTGTCCTTCATCCTTGGAACAGGTCCTGCCTTTCCTCCCATCCCTAGCCCAGGTCCCTGGTCCCCATCCACATCGCATCCCAGCCCTCCCATCACCTCTGATCCCCACCAGGACCCAGAGCTCCTCACCACTCCTGAGCCCCCATCCCACGCCCAGACAGCCCCACTCTGCTCCATCCCTATCCTGTCCTTATCCCACATCCCTCTTCCCACCAGGCTCAGTTCCCCACGTCCCCTCTCCCGTGCCCCCATCCCCAGCCAGTCCTGGTATTCCTAGCTGTATTCCTCACCTATCCCCCACCCCCAGCAGGTCGTAGTCACCTCTGTCAGGATCCCCGACTGCCTTCCTCGTGCCCCTGTCCCCAGTCCCACCACGTCCCAGCCCCTTATCCCCACTCTCGATCAGCTCCCCACGCCGTCCCCGCGCCGTCTCCCCGCCAGGTCCCGACGTCCCCACGTCCCATGTGGACTCACGGCGCCCAGCTCGGGCTCTTCCCCGTCGCTTCCCTCCTCGGTCTCCAGGTCGATGTCGAACACCCCCGCCATTGCGGAGCCGCAGCGAATCCGCGGGCCCCGCCCGGTCACGGCCGCGTCGCATCACCAGAGGGATTCGGGATCCCCGCCGCGGGGCACTCCGGGACGTGGAGTCCGAGCACGTGGCCCCGCCCCCAGACTTCGCCACGCCCCCCAGGCTTAGCCACTCCCACCAGCACTAGCAACTCCAGTCTTTGCTACGCCCCGTAGGCCAGGCTGCGGCCCTCCGTCTCGGGTGTCTCCCAAAGGGCAGGGGTCGGCCCCAAATGTCAGCGCTGGCGCACGGAGCCCCGCGGGGGGATTGCTGGGAGGGGAACCTCCCCGAAATAAACACGGGCCTTGACGCACTGAGTTGGCGCTCTGCAGCCTTTATTGGTGCACGTGGCTCTGGGGGTGCTCCCCCGGCCTGGGTTGGGATGGTGCCGCTTCCACGGGTCGTGAGGTGCTTGGGGGTCAGACTGGAGGCGACCACCAGAAGAACCTCCAACTGGGCCTCGGGCTGCTACTGCACTCCTGTGTTACTGTGGGGTCTGTGTTGTTATTCCAGGGTCTCAGGCACTATGTGGGCTGTGTTACTGCAGGGTCGCTGCTGTTACTGCAGGGTCTCAGGCAGTACGTGGTCTATTGTTATAAGGCTTCAGGCACTACACAGGCTGCTGCGAACACTGCTATTACTGTATGGTTTCAGCCACGTGGGCCGTGTGTCACTGCAGGGTTGCTGTTATTGTAGGGTCTCTTGCTGCCACTTGCAGGTGCCGTTTCCCCATTGATGGTGGCAGTGGCTGTGACACGCTGTTATCACGTGGCATCATCCTGGGATTGTGAGACACGGGGAGATTCTCCCCACGCTGCTTTGCCACTGTCAGGTTTGTTACTGTAGGGTCTCCCCAGCAATGGGGTGTTCTCACGGGATATCCCCATGCGCAGTTCTCAGTGCAGGTGCCTCCCGCTCCTGTTATTGTAGGGTCTCCCGCTTCTGCAGTGGATCTCTGCTATACGCCTGTTACTGCGGGATCTCCCCGTGCTGTTCTATCGCTGTGGGGTCTCCTCTCACACAGGTGTTCTTGTAGGATCTCCCAGTATTTATCCTCTGTCACAGGGTCTCACGATGGTCATCTCTTACTGTGTGCTCCCCTCATACTGCATCGTTTCCTCATGTTTGCCTGTTACAACGGGATCTCCCCACACTCAGTGGTTTTAGGAGGGGCTCCTCATGTTTGCCTGTTACTATGGGCTGCTCTGTTACAGCCTGCTCTGCAGGCTCTCCCCATTGCTGCAGCTCCCATACTGCATCGAGGGCCACGCTGGGTGTCGTGGGGCCGCCGTGTTGCTACAGGCCCACAGCCCACAGCCCAACCCCGAGAGAGCGGGGGGTTGAGATTGGGGTGCGGGCCTCTGGGGGGGATCTGGGGGATGCGAAGCCCGGCCCCGGCCCCGCATCCCCAGCCCCGCCGTGGCTATTTGAAGTGGGAGAGGAAATGACTGACGGGGTACTGGGGCGAGTCGATGCCCAGTGCCTGGCACAGCCCCAGCAGCCGCCCGCAGGCCTCGGCGGGGCCGTCCCCGGTGCAGGCCACGCTCAGGCAGGGCTCCTCATAGCGCCCGCCTGCCTCCTCAAAGAGCGGGTTGAGGCGCACCAGGCCTTGCCGCTGCAGGCCCTGCAGGGCCTCCATGACGCCGCCGCGCAGGGCCTGGCCGTGCTCCGACGCCAGGCACATGATGCCCGCCAGCTGCTGGCGGGGCGAAGGCCGGGAGGGCAGCACGGGCGGCAGGCCCAGCGCCAGCAGCACGGCAGCCAGCAGCAGGTCAGGCCCATAGACGGCACGGATCCAGTCGCGCAGGTAGAAGCCGCCCATGCGAGGGTTGATCTCCAGCAGGCGCGGCCCGGCAGGGCCCAGCTTCAGCTCCACGTTGAAGACGCCGTGCCGTAGCCCGCAGGCCCGGCAGCAGCGCAGGGCTGCCCGCACCAGCTGGGCCTGCCGGTCAGCGGGCAGGCAGGAGGGCAGTATGGCCGCCGTCTCCAGGAAGGTGGGGAGGCGCGTGGGGCCGTTGTCCGACACCCAGGCGCCCAGTAGCCGGCCCTCGAACAGCACCAGGTCGACATCGTGCTCAGTGCCTGGCACGTACTCCATCAGCAGCATGGTGTTGCCCCAGCCCAGCCCGATGCCCGGGTGGTCGGCGTCAGCCCGCAGGTCATGCCACAGCTGGGCCGCGTGCGCGTGGCACTGCCCGGCGCTCTCCACCAGCCGCACGCCCACCGCCCCCGCCCCGAATTCCAGCTTGGCCACAGCGGGGAAGGGCATGGTGCCCGCCGCCTGCTCCACGTCGCCGTGGCTGCGCAGCCGGCGGCAAGGCACGGCGAAGGCGGCCGGAGGCGGGCGGCCGTGGCGGCAGCGCTGCAGGTGCTGGTGGGTACGGCTCTTCTGCTTGGCCAGGCGTATGGCGGCGGGAGAGCAGCCAGGCAAGCCCAGCCGCTGGCACAGCAGCGCTGTCAGCACCACGCAGTCATCCCAGTAGGAGAGGCAGGCATCGGGCCGCAGCCCGCGAGCGCGCAGCATCTCCAGCACGTGCTCAGCGTGCTCCTCGTCCCGACGGTGCTCCCGGCTGTCATAAGGCAGGAAGGTCTCCACCAGCCCAGCCGCAAAGTGCTCGGGGTCCGACTCTACCAGGTGGATCTGCAGCACCAAGTTGGTGGCACCATGGAGTGGTGGGACACAATGTGCCCACCCCATGGCAACGCTACCCAGCGTTCACTGTGAAGCCTACAGACGGCTCCATCATCTCTGTCCCTGGTCCTGGTGCCCTGCCCACATCCCCAGTCTGTCCTCATCCCCACCAAGTCCTGGTCTGCCCATCCCCATCTTTAATTCCCAGTCTCCAGCCAGTACCAGTGCCCCTGTACTCAGCCTGTTCCCGTCCTTCCAGCTCCTGATCGTCCGCGCCCTCATCTCTGGCCCTAAGACCCCTGTCCCCAGTGCAGTTCCCACATACATAGGCTGTCCTCAGCCCTACCCATCTCTGTTCCCATTCCCACCACAACCAGGTCCCCACAGTCTCTATCCTAGCTTCCCTGACCCCAGCCATTACAGGTCCTCTTTGTTCATTCCCGGTGTCATTCCCTAGCTTCGCTTTCACTCTGAAGCCTACTGAAAGCCACAGCACCCAGCGTTCACTCTGAAGCCTACTGTTGGCCCAATCTGCTCACCCGCAGGCCGTACTCGCGTGCTGCCTCCCAGACGAAGCTCTTGCTGGCTCCTCCAGCCCCGATCAGCAGGATGTCCTTGCCTTCAACTAGGCGGCACTGCGCCCGGTGCAGCAAGCACTCGGCCAGCAGTCGCGGCACGTCTCCGGCAGGCTGCCCCACATCATGCCCCATGCCCTCAACCAGCAGGCACGTCTCCAGGCAGCGCAGGCAGTTGGTAGAGAGGGCCACCAATTCCAGGGTGTCATCCACGCACGCCAACAGGAAATCCACACCTTGGGGACACAGAGCACTCAGTGCCACAAGGCCACCAGCCCCACTTGACACCAAGGGAGCAGGCCGAGGTCAGAGCTCACCAAGGACGTCGGTGTGGGCACGGGCACCGCCACGCTGAGCGGGGCTCAGCTCGCCCTCCGCAGCTAGGACAGCAGCCATGCTGGCTTCGGCGGCCTCCCGCAGCCGCCTTGCCAGTGCCTGCCGCTGTGCTGCATCTGCCAGGCCCCACTGCCGCAGGCTGGAGTCCAGGCCCAAGGGCAGCAGCGAACCGTGCCGCACCGGCACCTCTGCCCGCCCCACAGTACAGGCCACCTGTGGGGACACGCCACCAAGAGGACACAGGGTGACACTGGGATGCAGGTGGGTGTCCCCGAGGCAGGGATGTGGGCTGCCAGCCCCCGGGGCACGGGGACTCATGGGGCCTTGTGCTGGCACCCAGAGCCCGGGGCAGGGGATGCTCGCAGCCACCCCCAGCCACACCTGGCCCAAGGAGAGGGGCTGCAGGAAAGGGGGTGGAGGCTTCGGACGCCACGCACGGGTGTGTACCCGCCAGCCCCGTCCCCAGACCGTACCTGGCAGAGCTGGGGCCGGTCTCCCCAGGACCGGCAGACGACGGTGCAGATGCGCAGGGCCATGGGCAGCCGCGGGGCTGCGCTGCCTGAGGGGTGAGGGACAGGGCAGGGACAGCAGCATCCCACCCGCAGCACCCAGCTCACCCTGCGGTGCCCCAGCCCCAGGGACTGGCCAAGGACGGTCCCCCCCCCGTGCCCCCCCCACCCCCCGCCCAGGGGACAGGAGGGGCAGGTTACCTTCCCCCCACCCTTAGGGGCTGAGTCCGAGGTGGCCACCCCCCACCCACAAGCGGACACGAGGGAACCCCCAGAAGCCCTTCCTGAGTGGTGGGTACCCGAGGGGGGTCTTACGTGGGGGCAGCGTGGGCAGGCGGCCGGTGGGCACCAGGGCTTCCAGCAGGACGCTCTCCTCCTCACGTAGGCCCTTCAGCAGGGCTGCCACTGCCTGTGCCACTGCCTTGCCCTCCACCTTCCTGTGGGTGCTGCGGGGGTCCGTTCCACGCCACCGCCACCCTGACAGCCGTACTGCCACCTGTGTGCAGGGCAGTGTCACACCATGCCACCCTTTCACAGCACTGCATGCCACCATGTTCCCTGCAATGCCATGTTACCCCATGCCACCAGACTGCACCACCCTGCTGCCCCTGTCCCATGCAGAACCATGTCACCCTGTCCCATGTCATCCCATCCCACTCCACCCGAGCATCGTGCCACCCTGTCCCCCCCTCTGCCACCCCCCTCCCCCACATTGTGCCATGTCCCCCCTGCTGTCCCCACCTGATCGTAGGGCTGCATGGTGCTGCCCTCCAGGAAGGCGACCACCTCATCCTGCACCAGGCTCTCCTGGCCACGGGGGTCCTGCAGCCTCACCAGGCGCACCCCGGGGGGTTTGGGCTCCTCAGGCAGGGTCTCCCACAGCCCCGTGGTGAAGGCCAGGGTGGGGGGCACAGGCAGGCCGGCGCGGGCAGACAGCAACCAGCGAGAGAGCAGGGGGTCCTCCAGCCAGCGTGCCAGTGGTGCTGAGCCTCCAGTAGGGCAATCAAGGTCA